ACTTTAGGAGTGAACAAAAGTAATACTGCTTCCACTAGGAAAATTACTGACTGGCAGCGCTATGAACTCTTCATGAAAGACAGTGTTCTTGATGTCAGAAATTTGATCTGTGTTGATAACATCGACTCTGCAGTATCCTCATTTACCTCAAAAATTCAAAGGGCTATTGAAAATGCTAGTGATACAGTTGTAAATACAAACACGCTCTTCCGACTGCCGCCTAAAATACGTCAAATGATGAGGCATAGAAATCGCCTCAGAAAAATTTACAACCTTACCTGGGATCCTGTCGCCAAAAGGGCGATAAATCGCCTAAACCGGGACATCAAAACTGCTGTGAAGCAACACAAGGACGAACTCTGGTGTGAAAAAATGTGCAACTTAGATTTCCGTGACGGATCTCTTTGGACTTTAATAAAAAACCTCAAAGCAAATTTTGTTACCAATCGTCCCATCTTCCATAACGGAGTTGTTGCCCTTTCAAATGAAGATAAAGCAAATGTTTTCGCCTCGCATTTGGAACTACAATTTACGCCAAATGATTGGCCTGTGGACAGAAACTTTGAACTTTTCACCCTTACTCATGTGAAAGATTGGCTAAATGCCCCCACAGCACGAAATATTCCCAAATTTGCTACCCCTGTAGAAGTGTCTCAAATTATTAAAAAACTCAAATCACGCAAAGCTCCCGGAAATGATGGCATTTCTAATACTGCAGTTAAAATGTTACCTCCCTGTGCAGTAGCGAATTTCACTAGCATTTTAAATGCGTGTTTATTTAACTCCTACTTTCCACAGCAGTGGAAAAGTGCAAAAATTATTTTAATTCCTAAACCTGGAAAGGACCACACGAAACCAGATGGCTATCGACCTATTAGTCTCCTGCCTGTGCTCGGAAAAATTTATGAGCGCATTATTCTCTCACGTATGCAATCCTATCTAAACATGTTGCCTCCGGAACAATTTGGTTTCCGCCAGCACCTTTCTACTACGAAGCAGTTGTTACGCATTACTGACTTTTGTGGCTCTGCTTTGCATAACAAACAAAGTGTTGCTCTCCTCATGTTGGACGTGGCGAAAGCCTTCGACCGCGTCTGGCATGAGGGGCTCATATCCAAATTAATTACTGCTAACGTGGACCGAGAAATGATCTTGACAATTCACTCCTTCATTACAAACCGGACTTTTTGTGTTTGTGTGAACGGTGCTATCTCCTCGTCTAGAAATATCCATAGCGGTATTCCGCAAGGGTCAGTTCTAGGACCTTATATGTATCTATTTTATGCTGCTGACTTTCCTCAAGCATCTCAAAATAACGCTATTTTGGCCTGTTATGCAGACGACACTGCCCTGGCAGTAAAGTCTGTTAATATGAATCACGCCATCAAAAAACTACAAGATGTCATTCCTAGCATTGAACGATGGTGCGCGCAATGGAAAGTCCAAATAAACGCAGCCAAATCTCAACTTCTCCTCATACGCAGAAATAAAAGGAACACACCTGTCAAAAGAGGACTTTATCTATTTAACGAAATTGTTCCAATTGTTCCCCATGCCAAGTACCTCGGAGTGATTATAAATGATCGCTTAACGTGGACTAACCATATAAATTACGTCAGGGATAAGGCCTTACAAATTATCAAATGTCTCTTCCCAATTATTGGTAAATACTCCACTCTCGACCTGGGAAAAAAGCGGCTCATCTACACGTCTGCGATCAGACCGATCATGACTTACGCCTCCCCAGCGTGGGCCGCCCTGACCAAAACTGACCTCAATAAATTATGTGTTGTGCAGAACCGCTATCTCAGGATTATTACGAATGCTCATTATTTCGTGACAAATAAGTGTCTACAAGATGACCTCAAGATCGACCCCTTAGATAAGTTCATCGCAAAGCAAAATCGGAATTTCTTCAGAGAAGCCCAGGACTGCAATCATATGCGTCAATTTAACCTCTTTGAATATGAAATATTGCACGAAAGACAGGCACCTTAGACCATTTACTGCATTTATCCTCAATGAAAATCAGAACTTTCCAACCTAAGTTTTTACCCTGTGTTTACTTGGAAAACTGAAATGCTTAAAGTTAAGCAGCCACTATCGGGGTCAAGGCACGGGAGGGTGACCTCCCACGGGACTACGAACTAAAGTCTTCTACTGCTTACTGTAGATCTCTCACTGCTCCTATTGGTTTCAAATTTCTTTTATTTTATTTATTTAACTTTTAGTTTACTGGAAAGTATGTTTTTATGTCTCTGCAATTGAATATTTTGTAAATAGCAAATTCTCATGATTTTCGCATACACGTCTCAACAGCCAATCAAAAGACCTCTACTAAGAGATATCTTTGACTGCTTCTGCTGGACTCCCTGCGGAATTTTACTTTTGTATATAGTCTTTCTAGTTGTGAGAAAAAATGCACTTTGATGAGTTTATGCACTGAATATTTGTAAAAATGCACACTGTACCTGAAACTTGGACCAGCATCTCTCCAGCCTACCAGACACCGCTATAGCCTCACGTGACAAAGTAGTCACACCTTCTTTCATTTTGCATCCTGTCCTCCGGACACACTCATGCATTTGCTATACCTGCAATGTACTTTTTAATTCATGACAGCCGGTATACAGCTTGCTATCAGCAAGCTACACACGGCAATAGTGGGAAAAGGAAAGGATCTCAACAACAGTTCCAGCCCCCGCGCCACAAAGGAAGGACGTCTATTCAGCGAGCTGCCATATAATTGTTTTTTCCATCAACAGCACCGGCAATTAAGATCTTCAAGCAAAGTTATCAATCTGTTCGCTTAGAATCACATCTCCCGCAGAGTTTAAATCTCCCTAAGAATATTTTCAACGGGTTCCCTTTTTATTATTTGCGCTACCCTACACAAGCAACATGCCAATCAGCCTATTAATCGTAAACTCTTTCCTATCCGCTTTTTGCTTTAGTGTTTGTATTGTGTTAATTTTTTTTTAAAACCAAAAAAAGTATAATATAAAAGTACAAAAAAGCATTAAAACCTAAAAACTTATAAAAAAGATTATGATGTTTAAGTTTTTATTTTCGTATTCCTATCCCTAAACTTTCTCGAGCCTGTGGCTCCCTCTATTGAGCATCAAGTCAATTACTTATGCAAATTTTTTCCTATTTCTGCTCACTTTTTAGTAATTCTGATGTGGAGGTAAATGGTTTTGAACCATAGGCACTCCGAAATTTCAAAATCATTGGCATTGGCAAGACGAGGAAACCATTTTTGAATGACGACTTACTTTTGAAGGAAGAGTCCACGAGAATTTTATTTTTGCTGTTTTCGATAACTTCCAAGATGCAGAGAGAGGACCAGCCGACGGCGTGCCATGGCATCCTAAGAAAATAGACAGTTTTGCCCGATGGACGCAGTGGTAGCACCTGAATCGCAGAATGGCCAACATCTTGGTGATGACCGGAGTCCTTGCGGACGGAAGCGGCTGTGGGGCGGAGGCCCTGGCCTCCTAAATTATTTTCCATTATTAATTAAATTCTGTTTCCTTTCCAGAAAACCTCTACCCAAGAATTTTGTTATTTCCAGCTCACTTACAAGAACCCCCCCCCAAAAAAAGGCTGATGCCTTCGCAAGGTGAAATTGTAAATTTTGTTTGCAGGTATGTAAATTTGTTTCTTCAGAGTTAAAGCCGACCTGCCGCCACCATTGTTAAAAATGTAAATGATTCATAAACATTTTCCTCATTAATAAACGTTAGATTGATTTTACCTACTTCGCATTATTGTATTTAATTCCTTACACTGGACCTTAAACATAGAATGGGTTTTGTTTATCACAGCGCAATTTCCTGAAAAATTAGAATTGTTTGCATATTTTTTTATGTTACACTATGATAACTACTCTTATACAGTTTTGTGATTGATACAATATTGGTTGAAATGTTCTGTTACGTTACATATAACACACAGTTACCTACCTTATAATCTAGTATGAACATTTACAATAGTTATTTCACAGTAATGATGTTCAGTAGTAAATATTACGTATGAATTTCTATTTTGCTATAATATTATAACACTGTCATGGCTTCAGCTCCGGGGATAGTTAGTTCAAAAACCTCATGATTCGATGCTTTACTGTAACATACATGTATAAATGTTATTAGAGCCAATCATTTATGACTCTAATAACATATATTTATGTCACTTTTATTCTCTGGCTTATCCGTTTCCGTAAACTTCTTTTGAGCAGTTCACCACACAGATCTTGTAGATATATACACCTGTATCAGGTATAGATGACATGCGTCAGATTATGAAATATACTTGTGTGGCTAACACAAGGACAAAGACCAATACCGACGGTATTTTGTTGTGCCTATTCTTTGAACTAAATATTCGAGAAGTGATAGCCAACTCAGAAGTCAAACAACAACAACAACAACAACAAAAAAAAATATTTATTCGACGTGTTATTGTGTCTTAATTAAGTGATAGCCTTCTTTCTTTTATTGTCTTCTTTTAAAAACAAAAAAATTGAAGCAAAATTCGTTTGTAACAATTATCATCCTAAAATATTCCAGAAAATAATTAATTTTACTTGGTGAATATACTTTTATAAACTATAGAAAATTACAACAAAAATTATAGTGAAAACTGTAGTAACAAATAGAGAAGATTAAGTGCTTTCATAGCCATAAATATAATATCTAAATAATGAAATTACAGTTGTAAATTATATTGCTAAAGTGTAAAAATATTAAGTGTTTTTATAATTAAAATTTTGAAATAAAGTTTAGGGAATTTAGACATTTAGTATTCAGTCATCATTACAGAAATGCCACACATTTAGGTAGCGTTTGCTGACTTGTATAATTGTAAAGAATAATTTTGCCATTTGGTAAATTTTAAATTGCTTCCGGTGTGGTATAAAAGGTTGAATATAGATAAGTAAAAGTATTTTCAAATTATTTTGCAGTTTCCTTAACAGATAATATTTCTTCGCCTCATAGGTCTTCCGAAAATAAAAATGAAAATGTTGCTGAAGATACAGGGTCTGCTTTGTGTGAGTAGTAACTTTTTAATTCAAACATTATGCACATTTGTGAAAGCTTGAAACTTTTCGTACTTACAACAGAAAGCTTACATTGTAAGGGTTATATAATTTTTAATTTGAACTGATGAACTCTATTTCTAGGGACAAATTGGAATTGTGCGTATGTGTTTGTAGTAACATGCACAATTTTATCATAATTTGGTTTTAATTTTAAACTGAGATTTAAAAATAAGACTATTTAATTTCGCCAAATATAAATTTCGAAATTAACATACTGTTGTAAGTGAATGCCTTTAACATAGGAATTGCGCTTACATGTTTAATACAGATTACGACACTTCACTTTAATTTAGTATTTTTTATTAAAACTTTAATTTTGAAGTAACAGTTACATAATAGTAGAAGGTCCCTTCTATAACTTAACGACGCCAGGACAGCTGGTAGTCCGAAAAGTGTAGTATGGTTATACTGTGCTGGTGAATGATAATATGCGTACATTTTTTAGTATGATACGAGGCTGTACGGAGGCGAAAATGAGCGCAAAAACCGTGAAACACACAGAGAAAACAATAATGCAAGACATTATATAAGAAAACAAAAGAGTCGTATATTAAAAAACTATTAAATTTTTCTTAAAACTTGACATTTTCTTGTTACTAAAGTTTGAATAATTTCGCTGACTTGGCACAGAAGACTAGGATTGCATAAAATATTATTTTAAAGGACTAGAGAATTTCGGTGTTAACTTTCAGGAAACGTCTTTCCTCCCCTTTTTAAATTACTTTCTAACATGTTTAATTACATTTTCAAAATTAGTATGCATTTTATCTTAATTCCAGGTCTAATGTATTAAAACTATACATGTGAAAAGCATTGTCCTTAATTCGATATATTAAAATTTATTAGTGCAGAATTCATCAGTGCATTCGTTATCTTCAGAACTGTTATAATTATATTTCTTCGACTCTTTTTTTTTTCTTCTTTGCCATTTACTATTTGAAAAACAGTTATTCGACTTCTTAGGTAATATTTTACTTAAATTGCATTTTAAGAAGTGCATTTTCATTATTAACTGAATTCATTAAAAGAAAAAAAAATGCTCTTGTCGCTTAGATGCCTTTTTTTGTCTTTTCGTGATATTTATCCTTATTCATGATTACTTTACAATTTCTAACGCAGTGGCGTACTCTACTTTAGACAGGAACTAGTTTAGATATTCGAGCGAAAGAACATAGAAATAAACCTGGAATTTTAGACGACATTAGAGCTAAGCACTTGTTTATAATTTAAATATATGTATTTATAATTCTTCCAACTTTTAAAATATTGTAAAACGTCCATTTCTGATGGAAAACGTACATAAAATATAAATAGGAGGGATTCTAAGCTTTCTGGAACTGAAGTCCTTTCCAACACTTCAATCTAAGGGCATTTAAATCCTTCGATCCCGAATCTTTCAAATCTTCTTTCACAATAATAATTAAGAGGGTAAAAAGGAGGAACGAAAAAGATTTTATCTCAGTTATAAAAATTTTTATTAAATCGAAATTTACTAATAAATACGAGCACAATTAAGAATTCCGTTTCATAAAAATGCACTTGTATTTATTTATAAGATATATGTAATTTAATAAATTAAACGTATCATTAAAACTTTTGAATGAGTCACAGTGGACATAGTTTCTCATCTGCAATTCAATACCAAAAATTTTCACTAGAAAACTTCAATAAACCTCAGATGACAAAAATAACTTATAAACAGTCGAAACTAAAGTTTCTTCTGACGTATTTTTACTCATGACATCATTTAGAGCAGATTCCCATTAGCCAAAAGCAACCAGCAAATTTTTGCAAGTTGAGGTTCTTGCAAGAGGGTCAAGTTTGAGGCCAAGTGCAGCTTTCGGATTTTTTTAAGCCAGGCGTTAACAACCTTTTTTTGGCTGCAGGTCAAAATCAACCAAATGTGCGTATTAAGACGATGTTTCGGGTCAGCGGTATTTTCATTTTAGAACAGTCTTTCTTTGTGAAAAACAAGAGTAATTTAACATAAACATAAAAATCAAAATTCTAATTCTAATTATTATAAACATAACTGAATGAACTTCATTTTACTCATTGATATCAATGGCTCTCTGATATTGAATTTTATGAAGTCAACTTAGTCAGTTCTGGTTCATAGTTAGTCATCTTAATACCAACTGAAGCATTTGAATTTTTGGTAGTGAAGCTGCCACTGTTCTTACTTAAAATAAATTTCCTGTGTAAAAATATTTGCTCTCTTTCATCAACGCTGTTATCAAAATCCCAAATAATACATATCTAAAAGTTGGAGAATAGCGAAAGGAAAGCTCTTGGCACGAAACGGGCCCTTATATTCTGCACTTCCGTTTTGGGATGGAAGTTGAATGGGCAGCCATTTCAAATTCTCTGGTAGGTCACGGCTATTAGTTTTGCTTTTCGCAGTACACAAATCTGGATTTACAAAGCGAAATTTTATGAAATCCTACCTCTGAGCTTATATATACAAGCTGAATGCAATAACATTTTACCCTTGAACTCACGTACAATAGTATTATTCTCATTTACTTAATTTCATTAAATATATCAGAACAATAGTTTACATTCAACTAAGATCCATTTTTGAATTTCAGGTGTGCGTTTTACAAACCATATTTCCGAAGTGCCTAACATTTCTGACGAAACAAAACAATCTCATAATAATGCTGGCGATTATGATATGGTTTTACTGAATTTTGAACGCAAGGATATAAATACGACAAGCCGTCATACCAAAAGTATTTTTTCTAAGCCAGAAGCTCAGAGAAGGCCCATGAAACATAATATAAACAAAAGGAACACCATTTCATACACAAAGGAATTAAAGAGCCAAGACCGGAATGAAAAGCTTTACAATTTTGATTCATCGGATGAACATCAAAAACTGAAGAAGGGCTTCATTGGAAGGCTTCAGAAGTCACAATCTATTTCTTACGATGACTTGAAAATGCATAAAAAATTTAGTATGGAATTTGCAAAAGAATCTGGAAAAGACTTCCCTATTTATTTTACTAAGGATAAGGTTGAAAGATTGATCATGACTATTGAAAATGATTCAAAATTTTCTACTTTGAACATTGAAAATCAAGGGAAGAAAACGAAGGAAAGAAAGGAAGAAAAGAAACAAGAGAAGAAAGACCTGAATAGTGGTATAGGTGCAGCTAACTTTGTAGAAGCCTCTGACAAGCCAGGAGCGGATCTAAACTCATGCTACCGCGATTATGTGGTGCCTCAGGTAAATTCTCTTGCTAATGAAGGTGTATTATGCAAACCTGAAATTACGATAAAAAATGAAAATTTTCCCCAAACTTCGGATCATGGACAAAAGAAGAACGATAAAGCATCTGAATCTACCTTACCAACAAGTGAGTATTCTCACTCTTTTTCTTGAGGTGTTTTAAATTTCTCCCTGCTATTTATTTATCTTTAAAAAGATAAAAATCTGTGCTGTTAAAGTAATTTTGTATATGTTGCCAGCAATACCAATGATATATTTCGTTTGAAAATGCAGTTTAAAAGTAAAAGTGTATATTAAATTATCTTTGTTGTAACAGGAATAAACTACGTTTCTTATTCTTTAGAAAAGAATTCTGATAATATTTAGTACGATGGGTGCCATTGTTTGTTCTAATGCGTTTTTAAAAAATTTAACTAATGTAAGATACTGGAAGGTCATAACTAAAGTTAACCTATTCAGAGAAATGTGCGAAAACGATGTGAAAAAGGTTTCTTCAAGGTCGAAATAAGTGTTAAAAGTGCCGGCTAGGGGTAAAATATGATTAAGTGATCCAATTAAATAAATAAGTAATATCTCATTTATTAAACATTTTATTAAATAAAATAATCAATCTTCTTAATAAAGGATAAATAGAACATTTCAAATTAAACAAAGGAAAATTTTAATTCATTTCATGTAAAACTGATTCACTGTTTAGAAATGATCATATTTTATTCTGTCTGTTCTTCTGAAAATAACAAATTAAAAGTTTCTTTCCAAGACCACCATGCATAGTTTCAGACGATTTAAATTGTCTATGGATGTGGTCTTCTTGGAGAAATGACTACCAGAGTTTATGATTTACCAGTCAGCATTGTGGATTTATCCTGCGTGAACCTTTTGAAATCTTTTACAGAAAAAGTTTCAGATTGAAGATGTTCAATAAATGTGTTTATTTATACTGGTATATTAATAAACCTACGAATTAGTTGCAAACGTAAGTAGCGAATAATGTAGGAAACAACGGCATTAGGTAAACGTTTTCTGAAATACTCTTGAAAGAATAATGCTTTTACCACTGAAAACAGACCTTGTATATGAAGCGAAATAAATGCCCAAAACATTTACATTACAAACTTTCTTACTACAGAACTGATACTCAACAAATCTGCTTACTTGAAGTTTCTTTTCATTAACACAACTCTCTCTTCCAAAGCAGTTTGAACTTCCTAATGCTTAAAGGGGAAACACCTTACTATATTATGAACAAGTTATTTTAACATTTGAATATTTTAGAACTTTATTTAAGAATTCATATCCTTGCTATATTATGCATTTCCTGCACCTCTTTATAAATAAAGGCAATGTCCTGTAGTTTCTAAGTGCCTCACTATTAGTCAGTTTTAACTTGAAAATTAAGAATCAACGGTAACAATCAAATAAACATGTAAATCATTATGCTAATGCTACAAATTTGAGACGGGAATTAAACTAAATACAGCCTAACAACTAATTGCACTGGTTGACGAGTTATCGTTTTTACAATTAGCTAACTAGCAACACAAACAGAAGAAAAGACAGACAAATATATATTTATCCATCCTTTGCAAGTTGAAAACTAAAATGATAACACAATTAAAAAAATGGGCTTATTTTTACCCACAATTAAAAGATGAGGTTACGTGCCCTGAGTACTAAGGTTCAAATGATTCGTAAAATCATAAATTCAAACCTACAACACGTAACACACTATCTCTAAATTTGTAAAACACCTACCACGGGAAAACACATCTTCAGTCACTCACAAATACAGCACGAAAATATAGTGGTACCATAACATATAAGTATAATTCATTCGTTACCGAGCTTGTAAGCCAATTTGTTCGTGTTCTGAAACAAATTCTCCTTTTGAAATACAATTAAATGTTACTAATCCTCTCAAGTAACCACCTCAATGTTTTGTTAAATGTTTTGAAATAAGAAAACGTACGCCAGATTGTATAGAAAACTAATAAAACATTTATAAAATATGACATAAATATGTAACAGAAAATGCAAAGAAGTTAAGTCTTATAAAGTTAATTATTGCATTTTACTTATGTACATCTTATCTTCATTTTCCTTTACTGGTTTTTGCCTTCTCTTTTTCTCCATTATAAACTCATTTCATACAGCGTCGGTTTCAACAGAAACTTGTCCAAGGATTCATGATGTGTATGAGAATGTTGCTTCATGATGTGTTTAAGAATGATTTGGGAAGTGATAAACAAATGTCAGTTAACAGCACTATTGCGCAACATGTTGCAAATTTTTTAAGTGTTTTTTTCCAATGAATTCAGCAATTGCCTTTCAGTTTACCAGAATCGTGTTGAATCAGTTTATAGAAAGGCTTCACTGCATCTATATCCTTTGTAGAGACATTAGACATTTTTTGGAAGCAGGCAAGATGAAAAATATGCAACGCCTTCACCGGGAATAGAACCGCTGACCTCTCAATTACGCGCTGAGCGTGCAAACCACCACACCACGAAGGTTCGCTAAAAAGGCGGGAGAAATACGTTATACCTTTATTAATTTTCTCAAACGTTTTTATGCGTCTCGAGCTGTAGCTCGTTTAACGGCAGTTTGTCTGACGGCAGTACCTCCGACTGACCCTTAGCGAGTCTGCCTAATCTACCTCCAGCCTCGTGATTTTTTCCGAAGTTTTTGACGAAACGGAAAATTATCGATTGCTCAGCTAAATCAAAACGCTTTCCGCCTCGTATATTCCTAAATGAAACATTATTTTCAATGAGCTTCTTATAATGAATATGCTTTGCACTTCCTGTAGTCTATGCCCCTAAAAAGTAGTCTGAGTGTTTAATCTCACAATTTTATATAACTGTTCTCTTACGCTATCTTCATCATTAAATATCTTCCCAGGAAGGACAGATTTTACTTTGAAAAATACATAATAACCCAATCAAGCTAAATTTTGGTTGTAAGGATATGGTCATGTTCTTTAAAATCACATTATATTTTATATTGTACTTACATGTTGTTGCTTTTGAATTGCTGAAACAAGTCGGGGTACTCATCTATTGGAGACTTTGTTCTTGTGAAGATGATCAGGTGAAATGTGCGAAAGAATTGTTCTGGACAGATCAAGTTCTGTTACTCTTTCTGTTTCTTTTAATCTCCTATCACTCGATAATTTCTCCGAGATACGAAAAATATGTTCTGATGTCAATAATCGACGTTCGCCAAAATAATCATTCCCAGCACCACGTAAGAAATTGTTTCACTTATTTTTTCTCGATAGAATAAGGAGCCGAATCAGCATACGTGTGATCCCATATTAATACTGAATTTTAAGCATTTCAGAGCAAACTAGCACATCACTTTATAAGGTATTTCTCCCGTCTTCCTAGCATGCCTTCGTGCTGTGGTGGTCTGCACGCTGGGCCGGTATTCCAGAGGTCCGTGGTTCGATTCTCGGCGAAGGCGTTGCTCATTTTTCATCTTGCCCGCTTCCAAAAATACCTTAAGTCTCTACAGAGGCACCCGAACAGGGATCGGTGAAGGCGTTACTAATTTTTCAATCTCTTTTGCTTCCAAAAAAATTAACGACTCTACACTGGCACCCGAAATAAAAGGGTGGTGTAGGATGATTCTCTCCACCCAGGATTTGGCGAGTGTGTCCTCTTAAAAGGGGGAGTATATAAGGTATTTCTTCTGTCTTCCTAGGATGTTTTCGTGCTGTGGTGGTCTGCACGCTGAGCGCGTACTCCAGAGGTCCGCGGTTTGATTCCTGGCGAAGGCGTTGCTCATTCTCCATGTTACCCATTTCAAAAAATACCTTAATGTCTCTGCAACTTCATTCAGTTAACTGTCAAGACAAGAACATACGATTTCTCTAATGATACTTACAAATGCATTAATTTAGTGCTACCACTATATGCCTGCAAGGAGAATTTATTTTCAAGCAGTTTTAAGCCGGCAGTAGTCGATGCTTTTAGCGAAAATCGACCAAAAATTAGAAACAAAAGTTAATATATTAATATTCTAAGGTTTTAAACCTGTTGTCTACAAAAAAGCGCTTGTGTGTAAAATTATTTTTAAAGAAGTTATAAATATTTCAATACGCTTGTTGACCTTTTTAGTGACATATAAAGGAACATTTAAATGCCAGTAAAAAGGTAAACAAATATTTGTGAAATGTTATTTTACGATATTTTAATTTCCGCAATTTATGCGATTTTAGTATTAGTGAGGTATGAGTGTGCAAAATATGAGCACTGCAATTTATGGAACTTTATTTCACTGTTCTTCCACGCATGACTCACTCAGACATAGTAAATGCCCAAAAGGCATTTACTATGTCTGAGTACATGTCTGAGTACTTACTTCTTTCATGTCTGAGTACTTACTTCTTTCATGTCTGAGCACTTACTGAGTACATGTCTGAGTACTTACTGAGTACATGTCTGAGTACTTACATCTTGAATACATGATTTAATATAATCATCTATATTTTGATTGGTAAATTATTGAAAAAATGTGCGAAGATTTTGTTTTGAATCAAAATATATGTTCGTTTAGATATTTACTCATATTCTTCAAACTCAACTTATTCCACATTATTTTAATTTTTTTTAGATAATGACGTTTTAAAATGTTTCGCAATCCATAGGGACAGGAATGTAAAGAGCATTAGAGCTACCTTCAAAAATAAGCCAGGTAAAGCATCTGCTATTACTCCTGTAAATGACATACTATTAGTAAATTATTATCCGCCCTTGCATTTGCAAACATCGTTGCAAATATTATTTATACATATGGCAGGAACTTATTTCAATCGTACCATCGTTTCCGTGGGTTTGCTACACTTCTTGATGATTTTTGATCTTCTTGTTGTTTTGATTCTTTAGAGCAATTTAAATTGGGTCTTCTACTGGAACCCGAACCCAAAATCAGATACTTGCTGGTGGGTCTTTTAATACTACAGTAGACACCTATTTATAATTTTGTGTATTAACATGAAACATTTAGGCTTGAATTTAATTGACCAGAAAGTACGATCTAATAAGTTGAGCCTTTTGGCCTCTTTAGTGGTAAAAAAGCAGTGTTGTGATTTTGGGCAAGTGCAACATTGGGTAAATCTAGCTTAATTCCTCAACATAAGTAAGTGATCTACCAGCAGCAGTAAGATCGCTGAACATTGGCCATTCGATCTGGGTTCATATCTAGCTTAACTAGCTGATTATATGGAAGGTTTCGTGGTTATCTACATGTTTAACGTGAATACGAGCAATTTTCTTTAAAATGTCCTCAACTCTTTTCACAAATCTTTGATCTAACCTTCTCTTTTGACGGATAGTTCTAGTAGGTCTGCAGTAATCAAATAATATTATTTCATCATTAAGAAGGTATTCCTGCTAATGTTTTAGCTTCGGTGTCGGAGTTAATGTAAGCTTCGGTAAGCGTATGATCTATAAAATGCGGGTAAGCACTATGCCACTCCTCTGATAAAGCCTGGTGACATAATCTCATAATTTATGCTGTTACTGTTTCTTCATGATAACTTGAAATTTAAATAATTGAAAGAATGCGCAGCTTGAGAGATATCGATAAATATGTTTCATGAAAATGCGTCCGTCAAGTGTCTTCTTTCTGAAACTAAACGTATTCTTGTCAAATTCAACGTAAAATCTGAATACCGCCCAAGGTAGGCATATCTTCATTCTGGATTGTCAGATGCTTATCGGCCAGTCGAGGCCTTATGTTAGATTTGCTAATTCTCAAACAATTATCTACTTGATTCAAGAAAAGTAAACGAGTCGCTTAATGAGTTCATGAGTACCAACTCTTTAAGGGTTGGGAGAATATAAAACTTTAACCAACTTTCGGCTAGTGGATGTATGCAACCGAACATGCAAGCATACAAAGTCTATAATTTTTTCAATGAACTTATTCATTAGGATTTTTTGGAAGCAGGAAATGGGAAAGATGAACAGTACCCTCGCCGGGACTCGAGCCTGAACTTCTCGAATACGTGTCGAGTGTGCTACCGTTACACCCCGAATGCATGGAGAAAGGATGGAGAAAATACCTCATAAACTGACCTCGTAAATCTATCTACGTTTAACTTTCATTCACTAGCAATTGCACTTTTCACTCACTAGCAATTGCACATATAAGCACAACCCATATGTTACTAATTTTGTTTATATTCAAGATTTGCATTCCCTGAGATGCGATTATTAAAGCCTTTGTTTTCCCATTTGCCGAGTCCGGCAGAGCATTATTGTATACATATGTACTTTTAATTGTGTGCCAACGTTAGCTTGGAACCCAAGTGGAATGTAATGACTGCTGAAATGTTAGCTAGTGCTTTCTATTTTCTTAATAAAAACTATCGAAAGAATTTATGCGCTATCTAAATATATAAGCACTGTACTAAAACAGTGAATATATAATTGAAATTTATTGGCAGGCCGCCCGTTTGAGGCCACTGAATTAGATCATCAAACCCGCTTTCTAACCTCAAGGAAAAAGAATTGAAACTTCTAAGACTTAGATTTCTCAACCAGGCAGAATTTCGTAGTTTAGAAGAAGAATGCGATCAGCCTTTTGCTTAGCTGTTAAAACTGCCTTTATATAAGTTTTAGTATTTAGCAACATTTTCTTTGCTTTTTGTTGTTTAATTTTTAAATCTAAATCTAAATAAATGTATATATGCATTTTTCCAGATTTAGAATGAAGAGAGCGGTAATTTTTAAACGTTAGAAAGTAATCAAAATCTAAATAAATGTATATATGCATTTTTCAAGATTGAGAATGAAGGGAGCGGGGAAATGATCTTCTCTAGCAACGGCGAAAGGGGTTCATGGGGCAAAAAAGGCTCAGAACCCCTTCTGCAGGTAGATTTTCATAAATTATGCTTATAAATTGCTGATATTAACTGTTATAAACTAGAAAATATGTTATAACTCTCAAAAAGAGCATTAGCAGACAGATGGTTTTCTTTCTTTTCTCTTTGAGAGTTGCAATTTTTATCATAGCATCAATCCCTCCTGCGACTTGCAGAGCGTTCTTATTGCGCAAGAAGAATGTGGGAGGAACTGTCTTTCGTATGGCCTGGCGGATGCCTATGTTTCAGAACGTTTATATTTAATGAGATACACGATTTGAACTTGTCTTACATACATCTAAGATAAAAAATATGTAAATTAAAATTATAATTTTAACTAGGAGTAGCCTCTTAACTCTCTCCTTTATAACAACTTTTCTGCACTGGAACTGGAACTCTGTCGTAATAAACAATTTAAACATGCCCTTTAGACGCGGTTTCGCTCGCTGACGTGTCGCTTAGCCTTTGCTAGCTATTGCCCATTGTTTTAAAAATATGATATGCATAAAATTGCGGGATGCATAGTGTTGTAAAGTGGATGTTGACGGTACCAAATGTAGAGAAACATATGGAAATGGATGCAAAAATTTAAAATACTTTACATTCTGAAATCGTCAGTTAATACTAAGATTTCATTGTATCCGCAGTAAGCCATAAATGCATATAAATGTGTGATGGAATGTGAGATCTAGAAATCTAGATATTTGAGGACTTACCCAGAATGACGAGAACCAAAAAATTACAAATGAATTATTTATTCTTATTTTTCAGCATCATTATTTTATATTAAATAATAAGGAAGATTTAACTAATGGTATTAGCCAGACAAACAAAATTGAACACGCTGGTACTTAAACATTTCGCACCAGATCTATATTACACGTGACTTCGCGAATATTGCGAAAATACTGCATCGGCACAAGTAAATCATTGTTCATCTGTCCAAAATAAAACTCACCATGAGAAAACTAAACCATGAGAAATTTTAGTATTCTATCAGCATAAACGGTAATGAAAGTTATGTTTTTGAACCAAAAGGACACGTGCACACTGAACTTAAATGAGGAAGCACGAGGTAGATGAACAAGAACGTACCAGTGAATGCAGGTCCATCTTATTAGATGGTAGAAAACATAACAGCAGCAATCTTATACGAATCTGGAGATTCACTTTAATAAGCTTCACTTGCAAGTTGATTCGATTCAGTCTCCCAAAAAATTTTGCATGACAAACAAGCAGCAGTTGACGAGGAAAGCAAAGCACATCAGCATCGGCAGGGAAGGAACAGGCCAGAAGGCCGCCCTTCACTCCAGAACTTCAGCCGCCATGGAGGTAGGAATTAAATTCTGAGTAAGTTAGGTAGGAAGTAAGTTCTGAGAAAGTTAGGTAGGAAGTAAGTTCTGAGAAAACGCACCCCGGGGAAATTGTTTCGAGGACCTTCCAGCCCTCTCCCGCTACCACCAAACCGATATAGGTAGGATCATTATCATTTATCAAATCAGTAGGTTGTATATGACTAGATCAAACATTTTTTTAATCTGCGTTTTAAAACTTAATAGGCATTATATTATCATTATATACCACAGTTCAATGTTAAATTACTGAAATTATTACTGATTTAAATAACTTAAACTTTCTTTTACATATTCACACATATATATGAAAATATTAAAAAAAATTCATTAATTCATATCACATGTGCAGCAAATAATAATAGATCACACACTTCATCTAAGTTCTCAATGTGAACTGAAAAATTATGTTTATTTTTTGTCAAGTATCTAGGTTCTCAACCTTGAATCAAAAGCATATATTTCATATCTTTTTTGGAACGGCATGCGTATTTGAGAGGTCCGTGGTTCAAGCCCCGGCAAGGGCGTTGCTCATTTGTCACATCTGCTATTTTCAAAAACTCCTAATGACTCTACAATGGCATCCGAACTAAAAGGTGGTGAATGATGATACTTCACCACCAGGATTTGGCGATTGCGTCCCCTAATCCCCAGTCTCCGTTTAAAAGGGTGAGTATATAAGGTATTTCCCCCGTCTTCGTAGCATGCCTTCTTAGTGTAGTGGTCAGCACGCTCAGCGAGTATTCGAGAGATCCGTGGTTCGAGTCCCGGCGAAGGGGTAGCTAATTTTTCCCGACTCCTGCTTCTAAATAACCTAATGCCTCTACAACCTCTCTATGTTTTATTTTAATTGCCCATAATATAACTTATTTTCTTATTTGAAACTTATAACGAGTATATCTGTAAAATAAAATAATCGTCTTAAAAATACTTTTCTATTAATAAATTGTTAATGAAAAAAATGTAACAGCAAAATTTCGTTTTAGGAAAAACTGAGTTCTACGGATCTGTTGCAGACGCTGATTGCAAAACTTATATTGCTAGCAATGATGTTGAAAATAGTTATGATATGATGCAGGAAGAAGGAAAATATAGTAACGGTAAGGAAAGAAAACAGGAGAAAGCTTTGAGCGAAAAGGAAAATGAAAGTGGAAAAGAAAATATCAGTGCGAAGTTAGCCATCTAAAAGTCTCAAAGAGTGACGCAAGTAAATATGCATAGACGCGGTGATATGTGGAGAAGAAGTATTATTTAAAAAAGGAAATATTTAACGTTAATGAACTTAATTAGAGAAAGAAATGTTAGACTGCAGAATATAGGTTACACGAAAGTTTTTCTTCATTTTAGTGTTTCTAATTTTCTTATAAAAAAGGTATAGTAAAAAAGGAAACGTTTAAAAAAAATCTCTTATCTGTTAATGTAGATTGCTTCTTTTATAAATGTAATATGTAATGCAATTTTGTGCAGTAACCTTTAACTATTTAATTTGTAATACGATAAAATGTTAGAAAGGTTTAAAAATGTATTAAATTGAAAATATGTTTTAAAATGTCGTTTCGTGGTAAGAATTTCGAAAGAAATTTTAAGATGTAAATCTTCGATACTGTGACATATGTATTTCGTTCAAGTGTGTAACTTAATATGCCGTCCTTCCTCTAATTTTTGTTTGGTAGTATTTATTTCTTTTGGTAACATTGTTTAAAATGTAAGAGATGTATATAATGTATCTCCAGTTTTAAATGCATATTGCATTTTTTTATTATATGTGTTTTACCTTTTCTATTCGATATATGTAGGATAAATGCAGGAAACAAAGGGAAACGTTCTAAACCAAAATTGAATTATGCATTGTAAGCTGAAGTAATCAGTGACACAATTTATAAATTATAGCGAAAATTTAAATGTAAACATATTCAATTTCGAATGCAGAGCTAATAATAGTTAAAGAAAATATTATGCAAAAACAAGAGCTCATTCTGAAAATAAAAAAAAAAAAAAGTGTCCACGTTTGAAATTCAATAACATATGTAAAAATTAAAAATAGAATACAAAGAGGAATATATATCTTCCAGTACATCTACAGGAGTTGTAGAGAAATATATGGATCAGCCTGGTTCTGAACTGATAAAAACACAGATTTACAAAATAAAAAAATTTCAATTAAATTAAAAATAATCTGTGTCTTCATAAATCCAACCCCTGCAAGCTCTAATGGGAAAGCCACCTTGCCCACGTTTTTACTATTCATAATACTCGTACTTACAAAAACTTCAAAATCAGTAAGAATAACATTTATATGATTTAAAAAATTTAATATAAATGAAATTAAGCAAAATAATTTAATTAATAAAAACACAAAATATATTGTTGCGAGCATACCCGCTCGTAATAGACTGAATGCACACAGGTCCGATTGCAGACTATTAATATTTATTTTTATCAAAACGAATATTTCACAGCTCTAGAATTTTCCACAGAAATATTCATACAAGTGTTCACAGTATAACACAGTAAAATCAGTACTTACACTTCAAACTACTAAGAACGTTAAACGCAACGCAATACAAAGCGCATATAAAGAGAAAGCTAATCCGGTATTACGCTGAACTAACAACTCGCAACACCAACTAGCAATATTTCTAGTACTTCTGCTTCTAGAAATTACAGGAAAGCTATATGAGGCTCGAATTACGGTTGCAGCTAATACAGTGATCAATTAGGTTTATTCAATTTCGATACATATTACGCTGATACAGGGACTGGGCCAGGCGACTTATGGGAAGTTTATCGCCAAATTTAGCTACAAAATAATCCGCAAAAACCGTTGTCAGTTAGGCGAAATCACGCCAACTCTCTGAGATACCCATTTACTGAATAATAAATGGACTTGCCCCAGTATTCTTACTTTTTCGACATAGCTTCTTTCTGGAGAATTTTTGCGTTACATTACAGAAAAAAATACAACAATTTTGTATATAACTGAACCAAAAATCATCTATCTATATACAAAATTAGTAATAATATAAAACAGCAAACTGCGATTTTTAGCAAAAGAAGCTATACTACCTAAATTAAATATTTTTGATCAGAAATCAAGTTTCTTATTGAAATCAAAAATTAGGTTAATAATTAATAATTCGAATAAATTAGCTAAGGTAGATTACAAACTGTGCAACTACATAGGAGTCTGAAAACAAAATAAATACATGCGCATTCGAAATCTGGAACAAGCTTTAATCTAATCCCAACATGGGTTAACAGGTAAAAGAAAATTTTGAGAAAAGTTGTTGGAAAAAAGAAATATTTGGGGGGGGGAAGAAGATGTTTAATGTTGTTCAGTAAGAAAAATTTATTGCCTTAAGAGTTTTTATCTCCACTTTGTAGTATTTTGTGGAAGTCTAGAAGCTGAAAGTGTACAATTCATGATATTTCTGAGCTTTAAGTTATTAAACTGAATACGTTAGTAGATGACCTATTTTTCAAATGCTAGTTGTAGTGGTAGGATTTATTTTTAAAGGTAAAAAAAGAAGCAATCAAATGTGTTATTGCATATTACAGAACTTCATAAGGGCTGTGTTGAGACTACGGAATTGAAGAATGCCTTCTGTGTTAGTAAAAGAAAGAGGTTATTATACAGCTTATGTATAATTATTACGAGCAGTAACACTTCTGAAAATAATACCTTATTTCAGCTACGCTAATACATCCAGCCTGTACAGCCGAAATGTTTTAGATGTTGACTGCCATGATAAACAACAGTTGAAATGAGAAAATTAGTTTTGTAACTGTAATTTAGAGAGCTGCTTTTTAATGAATATATTTTGCAGACATGCTCTTCAATTTACATGATTTTTTTTTCAATTTCAGTGTCTTTTATGCATGGAGCTTTGGAATATTTTGCTGTTTTAATTAATAATCCTAAAAAATACAAAATTCTTAAAAAATATTGACTGTTATTTCTAATTCTTTTGGAAAAGATTTAGAAATACCTTCAGTACCTCCAAACTCTTTTTCAAACTTAGGTTTTCAGTTTGTAATATTTATTAGATGATCCTAGTCAGCATCAAATATGATCACATCTCTTAATTAGTTAACAACCAATGAAATGTTGACAAAATTGAAATTCTAATCCTCCTGTTATTTATTAATTACGTCAATCCCAACCTTCTTTGAGACATCACAATAGTGGATACATTTGCAAACGCACTATACAGAAAAATGTCTTTAGAAGCTCTCGTCTGGTTAATGATATATACGACCAGCTAATTTTTACGAGAATTGATCTCGTTCTCAGAATACTTAGGAAACTAATTACAACTCGCTTTAATCATCCGCCGCAACACAATCACACGCACACGTAAAAAAAGCGTTCCATAGAAAAGATTGTGCAAGTAATTTTCCAACCAATGTAGCGTCAGATCTAAAGCTCCGCGAAGAAAAAGCAAAGAGCCGATGTTGAATGTATTTTACTACATCTGAAAAGAAACTTCTCAGGGTATTGCAGATAAGATATACTATGCTTTGGCTATAAATAAACATATTCTGCACACATTTAGGAACATAATTCTGTCATAAAAATTTATAGAAAGCTCGTTTCTTTCGATAGTCTGTTAAGAATATAAATTACATTACTTTTCATGAAGTTATTATATAGTAAGGAAAAAATCGCATGAAATTAATATAAAGGAAAAATACATTGAAATTATTTAACAGTTATTTTAAAAATATGTAAATTTATATGCAATGAGTGCAATATAAAAATGTAAAAGTTGAAAACTTAAGAAAACACAATCAAAAATTACGGAGAACGCAAATTAGAATGTAAAACAAGAAACAGGTTGAATATTTTTGGACAAAGTGTTTTAAAATTTAAACAATTTTATGCCAAATATCAAAAAAACTGCATCAATGCATCAAGCGCAAACGTCACACCAGTCAAAATCGAACTTTTGTGCAATTAGAATCTGGGACATTGTTGATATTTGTAAAGTCAAAAATAATTATAACCATACAAAAAATTCAAGGTAACATTAATAAACCATTGCTTTCAAAACCTGTGTCTGATTATGAAAAAAAATTCTTAATCTGATTGTTATCTTTAAGTTATGTACTGCACGTGCTTTCAACACTGTTGAAGCTATGTGATGAGGCACATTCCCATTTGCATCGTAATAAATAATAATTTGCCAGTCAATTTGGTGCATTTAAGTATCCACGAAAAACCTACATCAAGAATCTTTCTATATTACTATTGTTACAATTTGGTGAGGTGTTTCAAAGAGGGTGAGCTTTTGGCTTATACATATGCATAGAAAAAAAGTACTACAGTAACAGCTCATTATGTTGACATCTTACACAAATCTGCAGTAATAACTTCGAACTTTTGATATCAATGCGAAAGAAATTTACTTCCAGAAAGATGGAGCAACAGCATCTATGATGAAAGGTTACGATGCACGTTATTTAAAATTTGTTCCCCGACGCGTAAATTGCAATTTCTTTTCATGTTACCCATGCTCCCTGGATATTTCTGTCTGCGATTGTGTGGAGGAAAATCTAGTCTACAGTCGCAAACCTAATACAGTACACGAGAGAAAGTTACCATTTACGAAGAAAGTGCAACATAACTTTGCGGAGAAGATAAGGATGTGTACAAAACGAGAAGAATGTTATCTTCCGCAATTAAATAACCAATAAACATATTTCAAAACTGAATTTATTACAGACTCTTTGTAAGTTAATAAAAATTTTACCTACTAAAAATTAAGAAAAATTATTTAAAAAAAAAAAAAAAAAGTTATTTCGTTCTTCACCGGCTTGTTTGAGATTACTTTCAACAAACATCTCAGGAGTGTGGGGAATTTAACATTTTTTGTGCAAGAAACTGCATTAATCCTACATTCAAATTTGTAGTTCTACCCTATTTCTGCATTTTCTTTCTGATACAGCATTTCTACATTTTATTGTGCATCCTTAATCATTTACCAATATGCAATTTATTTAAATGTAACTTTAAACAAAATGAATTACTTTGTTGTCATATAAGTGCATATAAATTCGTCTTTTTAAAACCTTAGAAAAAATATTATGATATTATCGCCTGCTTTGTAATATTTACTTATATGCATAATAAATAAAAAGATTTAAGAAAATATAATTTTGCACATATTAGTGACGAAAGAGGAAAAACCATGTTACGGAAGCCTTTTGCCTTGCGTTTGAAACAGCGACTTCTCAGATTTGGAAGATATAATTCCGTATAATGTGTCACTGATAAGATAGATGTTAGAAGACCAGTGTTTTTTTTTTCTAATAGTACTAGTAATTCTGTTTGGCAATTCTCGGATCCGAAATGCGTCTCGAATTTCCGACACGCACTTAATATTAAATACTTTTTCCCGAAAATTTACTTTTTTAGCTATTTAATGTTTGACTGCAGACATATGCCAGAACATTTTTTTTATTTCTCATGGTCTAAAGCAATCAGTTTAACTCAGAATTTGGAACAAGTAAGGAGAAAAGTGTTTTCTGTCGTTTTATCTAGCAAGAAATTCTCTATTTCTGTCATTGCAAGATGAATGTTTTAAGATATATCACAGTGAAATCAACCGTGCTTGTTTCACTCAACTCGGGAAGTTATTCAGAAGTAAGTCTTTAAGTTATCTAACTAAGGATAAGTTATGAGAGTCATTTCCGTATTTATCTGAAATCAATTTAATGTAGAATTAAAGATAATTTTATACGTTTTTATTGCATATTCGGATAATATGAATTCTACGCAAAAGTACTTTATGATATTTGATTTAAACATCTTTGTATTTTATAACCTTACTTTACTCAAATGAATCAAAATGAATAAATTTAGTAGCATATTATAAACTCAATTGTGATGTTATTTGCTACTTTTCGACTTCACAGTAAGACTCAAAATTAGTAAAAAATGTGGCTTTACAATAAAATTCAGCCAAAAAAAAATATCTACGGCTATTTGCGTGCTTTAGAGTAATGATACAGTACTCGGCCACATTTTATGCCTACAAGCTCACGCTGAAGTTCGCTTACCTCCGCCTAATTCAGCTTTCAATAGAAAACTCAAATTACTTTTATACTGCGAATGGGGAAGCCATCCAGTGGGTTGAATTAGCATCTCAGTCATTAAACTCCATTATTGGATCTATTTTATATCGTCGTCGCGTGATTTCCTCTCTGAATGTATTCTTTAACGACGTCTCTCCCTGCATCTGCCCTTTTTTGTCGGGCCGTTGAAAGATGTCACATCTTCTGAATGACGAGTCATTCATCAGGGTAAAAATCGAGGATCTTGAACTGAGATGAGGGGCATGCTTTGTGAACTATTTACTATATAAAATTTATAATTATTTATGCTATGTTCGGGAACGAGGATGCA